ATGTTCTTAAGAGTGTTTAAAAGCACTGTATGAGCCAAAACTGAATTAAATTAAAAACAGTTTTAGCTAAAGAAACATGACATTAAATACATCCCTGTTCTGACCATAGTTGTCATTAATGCACAGAAGGACCTCAGAGATACGTGTTGCTGTCTATGTCAGTTAGTCAAGAGAGAGTCTCTGCTAAGGACTACTAGACAGATGAGTTGGCCACAAATCACTCAGTCAATCAAATAAATGGCCCTTAATTACTTATTTAAACTGATATGCTTTTGCATCAACAAGATCGTTCCTTGTGGTTCTTTAGCTGCTAATCAACTTGCCTGTTAAGATTCTAGGGAGGACCGGCAGGTACAAGGAGTAGAGGTCGGAGTGAAACAATACAAACTGAAAGCTTTTGCAGATGACCTAGTTTTAACATTACAGGAGCCAGAATCTAGTACAAAAAGAGTTTTAGAACTTATTTCTGAGTTTGGTCGGGTGGCGGGATTTAAGCTGAACAAGCAGAAAACTAAGGTTTTGGCTAAAAATTTGACACCTACAGAAACAGATGGGTACCAGAAAGAAACAGAATTAAGTGTGGTTAAAAAAGTGAAATACTTAGGGGTATATTTGTCTTCTAAAAACTTGAATTTATTTAAAGACAATTATGAAAAATGTTGGACAGAAATCAAAAAGGATTTGGAAATTTGGTCAAGATTGAAACTCACCTTGTCGGGCCGAATCGCAGCTATAAAGATGAATGTATTGCCGAAAATGTTATTTTTGTTCCAAACCCTACAGATCGTGGACAGAGTGGAATGTTTTGGAAAATGGCAGAAGGATATATCTAGGTTTGTCTGGCAGGGCAAAAAGCCCCAAATAAAATTTAAAATATTAACTGACTCGAAAGAAAGAGGGGGGTTTGCCCTGCCGGACTTGAGGTTGTACTATGAAGCTGCAGCCTTCTGCTGGTTGAAAGATTGGTTCCTGCTGGAAAACACTGATGTCCTGGATCTGGAAGGGTTTGACAATATCTTTGGTTGGCATGCATATTTGTGGTACGACAAGGTGAAAGCGCACAAATTGTTTAAAAACCATATTGTCAGAAAAGCAATTTTTGCCGTCTGGATGAAATACAAAGACCTATTAGAAGGTAAGACCCCGAGGTGGCTATCACCGATGGAGGCCAAGGCTCGAAAAAGACCCAATATGGAGGCCCATTGGCCAAAATATTGGGAAATAATTGAAAGAACTGGAGATAATTGGAAGTTGCAGAGCCAGGAAAAATTAAAAAGTAAGGTGCGAGATTGGTTACACTATGCTCAAATTCAAGAGGTTTTTAAAATGGATAAAAAAGTTGGTTTCCAGGTGGAAAAATCAAAATTGGAGACGGAACTGTTAGAACCAAAGACTAAGGTACTTTTGAGAATGTATAACTTGTTGCTTAAATGGAACACACAGGATGAGATAGTTAAATCTGCCATGATAAAATGGGCACAGGATGTTGGACATAACATTATGTCAGAAGACTGGGAAAGGTTATGGAACACCGGAATGAAGTTCACGGCATGTAGTGCCTTGAAAGAAAACATTATGAAAATGGTATACCGGTGGTACATGACCCCAGTCAAGTTAGCTAAGATATATCACCTGTCTGATAATAAATGTTGGAAATGTCAAGAGGCAGAAGGGACATTCTTTCACCTCTGGTGGACCTGCCCAAAAGTGAAGGCCTTCTGGGAAATGATTTATAATGAACTTAAAAAGGTATTTAGATATACCTTTCCTAAGAAACCGGAGGCCTTCCTTCTGGGCATGGTGGACCGGAAGGTGTCAAAAAAGGATAGAACCTTGTTTATGTATGCAACTACAGCAGCAAGAATTCTCATCGCAAGGCACTGGAAGACACAAGATTTACCCACACTGGAGGAATGGCAGACGCAGTTGATGGACTATATGGAACTGGCTGAAATGACTGGCAGAATCCGAGATCTGGACGAGGAAATAATAGAGGAGGACTGGAAAAAATTTAAAGACTATTTGCAAAAACATTATAAACTGTATGAATGTTAAGAATGTGCACGATTAGGAAATGTTATGCTTTAGCAATTTGATTAAGTAAATGGCAAAGTAAGTGATAACAAAAAAAAAAAAAGAGGAGACAAATGTGAAACAAATATATTATGTTTATTTTAAAGGTACTAAAACTGGGTTACAGTATAACATTCTGAATTTGGAAACATAATAATTGAAAGTTACAGTAAGTTGCGAAATAAGGTAACAAATTGCTGACACTGTTATTGCAAAGAACGCAAGGCTTGGAAGGTGTGAGGAGGTCCAACTGACAGTGATAAATTATGGAAAGATGATTTGACACATATCCATTCTTTTTTATTTTCTTTTATCTTTATAATTTGTTTCTTGTTTTTTACTCTTGTATGCTTTTGAACTTGTGAACCTATGGAAAGAAACGCAATAAAAAAATATTTATTAAAAAAAAAGATTCTAATCAGAATAGTGGTGAAAAGAATAAATATTATGCAAGGAGCAAATGCATGGAAATACCTGGTATATGAGGTTGCAAGCCTTAAAAAGTTACAAGGGAATAAGACCCACTGGACATAGTGTGGTTTACTTGTGAGTAAACAGACACATGCACAAAAGAATTTGAGGAGCACATTGCTTTATCAATACTAATGATAAATAAATAATATTTTTTTACCCTGGGGTTAAAGAACAGGAAGCAGATAGTAGGGATAAATGGATTGTTCTCACAATGGAGAGATGTCCCCGAAGCATCAGTACTGGGACCTGGAGTTAGGGGTAACTTTACATATACATTTACAAGATATGAAATGGTGGGGACTGATCAGGAACGACTGACCTCAGGATCATGTTGGATACCTTGATGAAAATGTTAATGCAGCATGCAGCAACTATGAAAAGGGTGAATTCCATGTTAATAATCATTTAAAAAAGGATTGAAAATAAAGCTGGCAATATTTTAATGCAATTATACAAATCTGTGGTGTGACTGCACTTGGAACACAGTGCCAATTCTTATTGTCACACCTCAAAAAGTATATTGTAGAACTAGAAAAATGCAAGCAAAATGATTATGAGGCTAGAGTAACTCCCTTATGATGAAAAGTTAAATTTAGGGGTTTTTTGGGTTTAGAAAAAAAGTCATGAAAGAGAGATATGATAGACGAGAGGCGTATAAAATTATACAAGGTCTTGAGAAAATAGTTAGAGAGAAATCTTCCTGCCTCAGCTGAATGCTGGAAGATTCAGAACAGATACAAGGAAGCACTTCATAAAGCAGAATATTTAAGAAACACAAACAACCTTGATAGCCAAGGTGTCTGTAACAGTAACTGTCGCAGCACACATGGCGCAGGAAGAGAAAGGAGTTGACAGCATAGGAAGATGCTCCCTCTGCAAGGTAATGTGGTTTAGGAAGTAAGAAAAACTCCAGCTGCATGAAGATTGATCCTGAAATTTTCCAATATGCAAACGTTGATGGTGCATCTTGCAATTGCATGCATGGAGTTTTATAGATGCAAGTGTATTTTCAAGTTTGAAGAGGTGTAAGGCAGGGTTTTCAGTTCAACCATGCATTGATGTTCTTTGCATTCTTCTGCTGGGTGCTGTTTTTGCTCGAAGCGAATAAAGGAAGACCTTCATTTTGTAAAGCAAATTTTGTTTCTTAAAAGTCTAGGGAGAAGATTAAAAGTGAAAACTAAGGGATGCTACTAAAAATTAAACATATGCCTCTGGGAAACAGCTGTGTGTGTATGTGATGGTATGCATCTCTCTAGGTTAGGAAGAGTCATTATGTATGGGGCTCTCCCTGCCCACCATTGGAATGCAGCTCTTAACAGCTTTCCACTGGGATAATGTGGCCCATGCCTCCAATAAAGTTCCCCACCACTCTTGTAAGTAGAGGTGAATGACATTTGGCACAAACCATCATGCATTTTAAAGGAGATACATTGTCCGTTAAGTTCTATATCTGCACTTCACTGTGAACCTTGGCAAATGCACAAGCTTAGCAGAGCCAAGTCAGATAACTTGTGAAGTACCGGTATTTATAGACAAATTGCCTTCAGGGGGAAAATGCTGGTAAGCTCATGCTTTTATCTAAATTTGCAACTTAAAGAAAATGTAATTGGGGAAAGGACACAAAACCAGAGAATAGGAACATAGTATGTGTTTTTGGCACTACCTAACACAGTTTTCTAAAACGAATGTCTCATAGCAAGCACTGCCAGACACTGTTGGCTGCAGTCAGTGAAAATCTGCTTCGACTTTACAGTTTCCTCTAATAACAGCAAGGTCATTGCCACTGTGGGTTCAGAAAGAGCTGCCTAGTGTAGCAGTTTGCAGAGGAAGTGCACCTGTGCTAGCAGTAGAGTTTCTCTTTTCTAGTACTGCATCTCCTCCGTTTGTTCTGTTCAAGATGAAATTCTTTGCCCTGTTCAAGTATTGTAATGTATTGCTGAGGATGAAAAGAAGCACAAAGGTATATTGACATGGAAATTAAACTGGCTGTGTGCATGCTTAGGTTACTATTACTTACCTCTTTTTGTATTGAAAACACATTTTCAAACATCTTAACACATTCTACATTAAAAACCACGGCCATCAAAAGTTACTTGTGAGTCCCAATACATTAAAATAGCAAGACGCCTTATCACCCTCTAATAACAACAATTAAAAGTTTCCTCTTCCTAAAAGAAAAGAAAAAGGATCTGTTTCTTATTGGCCATGCTATATACACTGTGTGTGTGTGTACACGCCTCCACTATCCGAGCGGTATTTTGGCAGACTGCATGAAGCCCTATTAAAAAACCTATGTAATGAGATTTGCACTCATTGATGGACGGGCGTGTGGGAGAGAGACAAGAATACAGTAAGCTTTGGAAAAGAGCTGTATATATTTGAAACAATGGCTCTCTTTTCCGCCGCCGCCGCCGCCTTGACACGCGCGCGCACACGACAGACTTCAGCGAGCAGGAACGGCGGTGGGCGGGGCGCCGTGGCGATGGGTGGCGCATTCTTGACAGCGGCGGCTCCTGCTGCTGCTGCTACTGCCAGGCGCTGAGGGAGAGCGGCCGCCTCTTCTTCACACCACAGAGGAAATAGCGGGAGGAGGAGGAGGAGGCGGGCTGCTGTCTCTTGCAGACAATTCAGGCAGGACTGGAGAGAGAGAGGAAGCGAAAGGCACGGGCAGAACATGCCAGGCGCCCTGGCGAAGAGAAGCCGCCTTGCTCAGGGCTGAGGGAAGAACTCCACGACCTGATAGTTCCTCCCTCGCCTCTCTGCTCCGAGCCGGCAGAGGAACGGGCTGCTCGGGAGTCGGGCACACCTCCTCCCGGGGGCTCCGCTCGGCTTCCCGGCTGCGGAGCGAGCGGCGCCTCGGAGCCCCGGTGGGTGGGCGGGCGCGCCAAGAGGGAGCCCGGCTGGGTCCGCGCCAGGCATGGAGAGCAAGCGCTGCTTCGCCAACCGCTTCGACGACTACAAGGGCAGCCTGCTGGCCGGGCAGGGCAAGGAGGCGGTGGCGCCCTTGGTGACGGCCACGGTGGACCGCATCCTCAAGGAGGTGCCCCCGCTGGGCGGCGCCGAGGCGGCGGGCGGGCTGGGCGGCTGCCAGGGCGGGCTGTACGGCGGCGTGGCCGGCGTGGCCTACATGCTGTACCACGTCGCGCAGTGCCCGCTCTTCGCGCCGGCCCGGGACTCCTACCTGCGCGCCGCCAAGCAGCTGGTGGACGCCTGCGTGCGCTACGAGGAGGACTGGGGCGACGCCGACGCCGACACCCGCGCCGCCTTCCTGCTGGGCGGCGCCGGCGTCTATGCCGTGGCCGCGCTGGTCTACCAGGCGCTCGGGCTGCCGGACTGGGCCAGGCCGCTGGGCAAGTTCCGCGAGCTGTGCGAGCTGTGCGCCCCGCTCACCTTCCTCGACTGCGGCTCCGACGAGCTCTTCGTGGGCCGCGCCGGCTACCTGTGCGCCGCCCTGGTGCTGAAGCAGAAGCTGGGATTGGAGGTAGCCTCGAGTCCCTGTCACGCGCCACAGCCGCCCTTTGCCTTGCCTTAGCACAGGGGTTCCCAAACTTGTGGTTTTGGAACTACAACCCCCATCATCCATAGCTAGCAGGACCAGTGGTCTGGGATGGTGGGAATTGTACTGTAGTCCAAAAACAGCTGGAGACCAAAGTTTGGGAAACCCGGCCTTCCTTCCTTCATTTCCCTGCAGTAGGCATGTGAGCCTGGCGCAGCAAAACCCGCAGAGAGTCTTGTGGCACATTATAAACACATAAGCCTTCATGGACTAGAGTTCATCAGATCTGAGGAACTGGACTCTCATCCAGGAAAGCTTATACCAACATTAAAAATAATTGGCCTTTATAAGGTGCACCAAGGTTCTCTGTTGAGCTTTGGTGAAGGGTAAAATGACTTTCCTGGACGCAAGAGAGAAGGTATTGGCTTGTTTCCACGCAGGTCATCCCACTCTTTTGGGATGTTCTTTGCTCCTGCCTTCACAATTCTGGATGTGATATTTGATCTTTTTGTCTTTACAAACCACTGAAACTTGGTTCATGCGTTTAGCCTTGTAGAAATGGAAGGTGTGCAAGGTGCGTGCAAGATCATGCTCTGTTCTTGACTTTCCCATATTTACCCAAACTTGTAGCCCTTTAAAGATATTCTAACCTTGTAGAAGGCAGATGCTACCTTGAAACAGGTGTGTTTGTCTGAACATCAGCAGCAATGGGTTCAAATCACATGAAAGGGAATTCCAACTGAACATCAGGAAGATCTTTCTGTGACAGTAAGAGCTGTACAACAATGAAACAGACTCCTTTGGATGGTGGTGGACTCTCCTTCCATGGAGGTTTTTAAGCAGAGTTTGGATGGCCATGTATGATCTAGTTGAGATTCCTGCATTGCAGGGAGTTGGACTAGATGACCCTTGTGGTCCCTTCCATCTCTATTATTCTATTATTCCAAGCTCTATGCACTTCCAATTGATTTATAGACATTCTGATGTTCATAGGCATGCAGGTTGGTAGCAGAACTTGCTACTGCACCCCCTTCCATGCACACACACATGTATTTGTTCTGTACTGCAGCATGCCTGTGAAGCAGGGATAGGGAACCTGCGACCCTCCAGATGTTGCCGTGCCACAGCCCCCTTCATCCCTGACCGTTGGTCATGCTGACTAGGATTGATGGGAGTTGGAATCCCCACATCTGGATCCTTTAAAGGGTTTGTGGAGAGTGTCTATATGTGTACAGTGTGAACATATGTAGGCTTTGTGCACAGGTTCAAGAGAACCCATGGTAGTTGGCAACAGGAATGGTAGGCATGATTCAACTCTTCCACTCTACATGCCCATTTCTATATGATGATGAGTGCCTGAAAAGACTTTTCCTTCTTACTAGACATTCTCCAGAATAAATAATTTGGTGTCTTTCAGCCTTAACTTTGTTGCCTTAATCTTGCTTCCCCTCCCTAATATCTTGAACGCAAGGGTGCAGTTGTTTCCTCTTCAAGGTGACGACATCTGGGACAGGGAAGGAATTGTGATCTCTTAAGCAATTTTGTGTTTGCAACCTCTTATTTCCTTGCTCCACAAACAGGTGGATGGATATTCTGACCTAATATGGGGTAAGGGGCAAGGGGCTTCATTCAGAAAAGCCAAGAGGCACAATTGCTCTAAAGCCTCAAAATCTGTTATCTGAAGGGTTTGTCTGGAGGCAAGCAGTGAAGAGTGCTTCAAACACAAAGGAAAAAGCTGCACAGTGAATTGGTTTCGAGATATTTATCAGGAAAGTGTCTTTCAATGCTTCTTGAAAAATGCTTGGGGCTACTTCTCTTCCAGCTCACCTAAGCAGCCCCTGGACTTTTTCATTGGTATAAGGGGGGGCAGTTAAATACTTAACTATCTGAGGTTCTGCCCCCCCCCCCGACATAAAGCCTGGCTACACCCATGGACTTTTCCCATCTGGGCTGGGGCAGCAACTCTTTAGCCTCTGTTGCAGAGATGGGGAATCTGTGTCCCTCCAAGTCTTGGACTGCAACTCACATGGTTGGACATACTGGCGGGTGCTGAGGAAAGCTGAACCACATCTGGAGAGTCACAGGTCCCCCATCTCTGTTCTGTTGGCTTGGGCTAGTATGTGCTTCTCAACTGTACCAGGTAGCCTATTCTTCTACCCCCATTCTTGAGGGGAGAGTGATTATACTGGGAACACTTGGCTAACCCTTTTTTTGGATGTAGAAATGGTGACTCACTGATCACTTTCACTTTTCTTCATCTCAGGGGCTCAATTTCAGCAGAAACCCAGTGTTACAAGGATGGAAGTTTCATATATAAGTAGAACTGACAGGCCATGGAGAGAACAGGATGTGAAATTAGGGGCATCTGGTTTTTGGTCTCTGAGCTGTGCTTTTCTGAAATAAGGGACATTGCTATAAATTTAGAGGTAGCCCTTGAAATATGGGATATCCATATTCAAATGTAGTTGTGGTATAAGTGATGTGAGAATCACCCTCTTGATACCACAGGCTGAAATTACAAGATACAAGACACTGTGTTGTGATATACATGTTTGTTTGGAAATTCATCTTGTCTTGCTTCCTGATGTTTGTGTGTGCAGGATGAAATATTCCTAGTTTGAGAAGCACTCAATCAGTAATTCAGCTACTATTGTAAAAGTCAATTAGTTATATAAGAATCAACAAAGTTCACTTACACAACATCTTCAAATCTTTCTTGTTTAAATTTACTTTTAAGTTCTCTCCCACCACCATAAAAAAACTGACAGAAAGTGAATGAACACTAGGTTTAAAGTAAGTGTACACTTGTGCTATATATTATAAAGCTAAGTGTAGATCAGTTTAGGTTCAGATTTTGGTTTTGGGTGAAAGTGGTTTAGGGATAAGCGACTTCACAACAATTAACTACAGATTCTGCAGAAAGTTGGTTATTGGTTTCCATGATAATGATTAAGATTGTGTGTCTCCAAGTCATCATCAGTATTCCTGTTTACTATACCCTGCTCTCTCTCCTTGGATTCTATTTTATAGGAGGCTTGGTTATAAATACATCAAATAATTCATTGGACACTTTATTCAGTTTATATCAACCTTTGTCAAAACAAAGGAAAGACTTCAGGAGGTTGCAGTCTAGCAAAACTAATAATAATAGTGTTCTTCTAGTTCATATAGATTGTTTTCATAAACCACTTTGAGTTTAATTCTTTAAAAAGTGACTAATAAATAACTGTGAGCATAGTATATAATAAAAGCATTGCCCTTTACTTTAACAGTTTTTATTAACACAGCCACTTGCATGTTGGGTGCAGATTAATCAATTCCTCCCTCCTAACTTGTTGCTTTTGAGGAAGAAATAAATAGTGGAAGTTGCAGACCATGGAAATCATTACAAAGGCAGATTTAACACACATAATAAGGTTTAGGTTTTGTCTTTGGTATCTGGTGTGCATGACCATATTAACCAAACTATTCACTGACAATATCACAAGAAATGTTTGTATATGTTTCCCCCCAAAAAATATATGATGTTCTGTGACTAGACCTTAGACTAGGATGTGTGAGCTGCTTACTAAGATTTTTCCCATTTTCCACATAACTGCATTAATTTTAAATGGAAGTTGCAGTTAATCCCACATATTGTTAAGAGCCGTTACTTCCACTTAGGACTCACAGCCCTAAGAATGTGGTCTGCAGGGGATTTGATTTTACATTGTGAGAAGGCTGAACATGAGAATTTATATTTTATTCATCTAAATTAGACATCCCATGTGCCATAATAGACTTTTTAATACCAATATAATTGCATTCACACCAGGGAATTGCACCAGCAGAACTGCTTCAATTTTGACAGGATAAAACCTCCGGTCTAGGGCAGCATGAAAAATAACTTTCTAACATTTATGACTGGTTTAAGTTACTGTACTGCTTATAGCATTAATAGCATAATATATTTTATAACTGCAGCATTTTGCATCTGTAAATTTTAAGCAGCAGGAGCTCAGTGGTTTATTATTGGCAGTGTACATCATTAAGCCCAGTGTAGAGAGCCATTTTGTCCTTGAGCTAGTCAGGGGGCATGAGCAGTGCAGTGGCTCAGGAGGGGAGCCTGGTTAAGGGCAGTCCGAGCTTAAACTCACATTAGCCATTAATTCACTAGATAACCTTTAGATAAGGCTGTGTCTCTTTCCCTCGCCCAGCGCCCCTCCAACTGTAGTATTAGGATAGTGTTACTTACGGTACCTATCTTAGAGGGTAAAGATGACTGAAATAATGTGCCTTAAGTGCTTTGAGCACTATAAAGACATGTATCTACAACATTATCTGGCTCAGATTTCTCTGCAGGGTGGGTAGCCAATGTGGTGACCTCCATTTGTTGTTGAGCTACAGCTCCTGTCATTCCTGACTACAGACCATGTTCGCTAGGGCTGATTGGAACTTTTGTCCATCAACTCCAGAAGGATGCTATGTTGGCTGCCCATCTCTGGACAGTTTCCTTACAGTATCAGTAGGTACATAGTATGTTCTCCATCATGTGTAAAAGGCAAATGCTCCTTTGTTTTCTAACAATGGGTCAAACTAGGTGTGACATTTGCATAGCTGCTCTCCTCTGCCGCTGCCCCTGCACTTAATTGCATAGCTGGCATTGGAGCCTCAAGATGGATTGACACTGGTGGTGCAAGAGGAAGAGGGTGTTAACCCTTTGCCCCTGCTATAGTCCATATTGTAATAGAGGCCTTTTGAACCTACTATTCACAATGGGAGGAAAGCTGCTGTTGGCACCAGTCTATCATGCGTAGTTTGGCCATGTCTGTACAGATCTACCCTCCAACATTTCTCTGATAAAAATAGGGACATCCCATTCCATACCTTCCAACATTTCTCCTAGGAAAAAAGGGACGTCCTAAGGAAAAGCGGGACATTCTGGGATCCAGTCAGAAACCGGGACTCCTTCTGTAAATCCGGGGCTGTCCTTCAAAAATAGGGAC